GTTCTGGCCATTAGATGTAGCTCGTCTGTGTTGGGACATTCTTTTGAATGTCCCGTCCAGAAGACCTATGCAATTTTTTTTCTGTGCCATTCCACATTATTACAAATAACTTCATTTCTGGACATTTATGGTTTGATTTCTTTGTATGTTTGGATCACTTGGGTTGTTACCGACATCTGGTGAAAATTTAATGTCATTAGCACCTCTAGTAATATATTTACTGAGAAAAATGGTGACGTGCTCAATACTTATTTTACCCACTGTAAATGCACATACAGTATACGTGTCTTTAATTGATACTGTTAAAAATGACCAAAGTGCTGACATGGATCTACTTCAGTTATTCCTGGCTGTGCAGCATCACTAACACTATCATGATCAAACAGTTACCACTCATCCRCCCATGTCCCCTCTCAAAAGAGAAACACAAAGCTAAAAAGTGGGAAATCGACATCGGACGTTAATATCAGCCCGGTTTTACTTATCGGACCGATACCGAAATTCTAAAAAATGACCAACATTGGCCAATACAAATATCAATGTCAATATATTGTGCATCCCTATTTTTTCTCACTAATTTACTTTTTAGTAAAGATGTAGAAAACTTGTGCAATATTCCAGACATGAGGCACTTAAAAGGAAAATAAAACCCTCTGAGATCAGGAGTGAATCCATGGAATTATTACACAAAATTTATTCATATAACAAAACACATAAAGAACTTTTTTTTAATGAAGCCATTGCAGAAACTTGGCTGCAAAAAAGTCACAGCCTTTTCGCAACACCACAACCACTTTTTGGGGTTTCATAATMTTTGATTAAGCATCTAAAATGTACTCTTGAAGGCAGGGATATTCAACTATATTGCTCAGGGGGTCACGGTCACTCAAAGCCAACAGCTCCGGGGCTGGGTCATCCTGGGTGTGGGGAGGGGTGGGGTTGTCCAATAATGGTGGGGAAAACACTGCATTATATAAAATTACAATTATTAATTTTTTTATCTTTTAAATATGATTATTTTTGTTGCATTAAATCGTAAGTTTAAAATTAACATTGACTTAAAATCTATTATATATTAAATTTGGTAAAATAATACATATATATGGTGGGCCGGATGGAAGTCATCCACTGGGCTGGATGTGGCCCGGGGGCCACCTGTTGATTACCCCTGCTTAAAGATTTATTAGAGAAATATTTAGCTTATTTCTTAGCTGTAAATATATATGCATGAAGATGTATTACCAGTGGTGGGCACAATTCTCCTAAAGCACTAATAGGGGAATTAATTTCCTGATTAATACTTTAGGGCTTTATCTAAATTTAAAAATTATTAGTGGATAAACACTTACTAAGTTTATAGGCTAAATTTAGAAGCACTAACTGAGGTCTATGTTATTGATCAAAATTAATGTTGATGAGGGTGAAAACTGTCGCACATTTTGTTCATACGTGTCATTTACCCACCAGGTGACAATATATTGTCAATATATGAACCCAAATACAGCTGTGGAATATCAACGATGAGGCTTAAGAGAGCAGGGTGGCAACRTGTGTCTCATGTTTTCTGTTGAAGAATATTCATGGGCTGACTGGGTTATTTTAGAGCTTTAGAATTAGCTTTTGCTAAACTTTTCAGTGCGTTAGTGCTTTAGAACTGGGGGACCTAAATATTTGAGTTAATGTTTTAGGGCTAGTGGCACTAATTCTTAGATTAGTGCTGCCCACCACTGGTGTGACTAAACATTGAAAAGTGTAGTAAAAATACAAAATATGTGACAAAAGCTTCCAACTGTAGTGATATAAAACCTTTTTTTTAAACTGCTGAAATAATGAGCCGTCGTAACATTATATAGAAGTGTTTCACTATAGGGGAAACAGTGTAGTTTTGACAACGCATCATTTACATAACTTGAAAACTGAGATTTTTTTTTTTTTTAGAAACGGTTTTAGGCAGAGCCCAGCAGGAGGCAGTGTACAGACACAGCTGTCACCTCCTGCCGCAGACCCACTTCTGGATATTTTTAGTTAGAAAACAGTTCACTCTTTATATTGTTGCGAGACGACGTGAGGTCATTCCGCTCACAGGACAGGAAGTGTCCGCCCTCTCAGTCCAGTCCAGTCCATTTACAGTTCTCCTCTCTGAGAACTCTCAGCAGCTAAGGCCCATTTTTTCTTCCTTAGAGACTTTCCTCCAGCCTCTCTCTTCTGTTACTGTGCTTGTGTCTCCTGAAAAGAAGTGTTCAATTTAGATCAAACAGCAGTGACAAACTGTGAACAGACTCACGTTAAAAAAAAAAGACAATTGTTTTGTCAGCAGACGCAGCCCGGCCTGTCATGTCGCGTATCGTGTGGGAGGATGCCATGTTGCATTTTTTCTGTTTCGCTCTGTACTCTCACTTTTTTTTCCCACCCTCCTTGTCTTAACAGTGTGTTATTCTTCCACACAGCGTTGGCTTCATCACCAGAGCATAGCCTGAAATGAGATTTGTGCCTGACAAAGTGCATTACTGTACCTCCACAGAAGGAACGCCAGCACTCCTCCACACAGCAGCAGCAGCAGGACAAGACAAACAACAGCCGCCGTCATCCCTCTGCCCTCGGACTCACAGGGTGCTGCCAACCACACACACAGACACACAAATGATAAAGAGGTAAAAGAAAGCCAGTCATCTGATACGAATGCTCTAAAAGTCCTCAGCAACAAGTCTGTACCCTCAGTAAACTCTGCAGCAGAAGGAGAAAACAACAACATCCTAAAACACCCTGACWGTCTCTGGATCATCACGCCTCTCGGCAGATACGCAGGATTGTGTTTGTCTCGCCTGTTTAGCAGYTCTGGTAGCAGCAGCAGCGGTGGCGGTAGAGATTTATTGATCCCAGTCTGGAAAATCCTTTTTTTTCACTGAGACGCCACGGCAGCAACAGTACAAGAAACAAAAGTTCAGTCAGGATACGGACAAACGGAGGACGTCTGAAAATCCATGGTTGAGGTTTTTTTTTTATTGTGTTGGTATTATTAAACAGATTGTAAAAGAAGCAGTGGAAAATTATATATGACGCTGGCTGGCAAACACATGAKTCATCTTCGTCTTTAATTAACATGTATTTAACTCACTCTCAGGTGAGTTTATTTATCTATAAAGCTTCTTTTATTTTGTCATTTCAAAGTGCAAATAATCCTCTCCAAACCCCAGGTTCTTCACGAACGGTGTTAATTCCCTTTTTGTTGTGTTGTTTTGACCTTTGACCTCTTAAGGAAAGGGCTCTCATCTCTGTGGCTACCGAGAGCCCCGATAAAGTCAGCAGCTTGTTTCTGACAGCCAAAACATCAGGAAGAGGAAACACGTCCATGAGGGTGAACCAGAGAGGTCAAAGATCACAAAAACAACACCTTATTATCCCTTCAACAAAATATAAAGAAAACGTCCGTTTGAGAATGAACATTTTGTTATTTCTAGGATACAAACTGTTCTTCATTTTATTGTTAGATTGTTTAACGTTATTGCCTTATGTCATCAGGGCTGGACATAAACATTGATATATCAATATACAGTGGTTTGCAAAAGTATTCATACCCCTTGAACTTTTCCATATTTTGTCACTTTACAACCACAAACATAAATATATTTCACTGGAATTTAATGTGAAAGACCAACACAAAGTGGTATACAATTGTGAAGTGG